TTAGTGTGTGGTCAGGGGACAGGTTAGTGGGTCAGCGTGTGTTTGGAGTGACAGGTTAGTGTGTGGTGGGGGGCAGGTTATTGGTGATGGATGTGTTCGGACGGGCAGGTTTGTGTGGTTGGGGGACAGGTTAGTGCTGAGGGGTGTGTTTGGAGGGCAGGTTAGTGAGGTGGGGAGGTTGGTGAGAGGCGGACAGTACTGTGAGGGGGATGGTGCCCATTTCCAGAGAGCGGGTGTTTGCCCCTGGCTCCGGGGCGGGCTGGGGGCGGAGCAGCAGAGCAATGTGACCCAAATCCGCTCCCAGCGCAGCTCAATTTCTCTCTCCTCCTCCAGCAGCTGTGCTGCTCGGGTCACCGTGCAGCCGCACTGCCAAGCACCTTGCAGCGCTCGGAGCCGGCACAGCCCCCGGATCTGAGTACTTGGCCCTTCCCTGAGCGCTGCTCCCCGGCAGGACCCCGCTGTGCAGGAATCATGGAGCCCGGCGGCATGTGGCTCTCTCTGCTCCTCCTCAGCCAAGGTAGGTTTCCCTACGGGTTTGCTAGAGATTGGGGCAATCCGGGTCCCACTGAGCAGAGGGTCTCTGTTAACCTCATAAAGAGCATTGCCTGCTGCTGAGAATGGAGCTGGACACTGCACCTTGCGGCGCCTGGAGCCTCGCGACCATCTCCAATCCAAAGGGGGCAGCCTGGCGTGGGACAGAATTGCTTCCTCTAGATGAACTTCCAAGAAACCCCACGTGGCCGTGCAGGCTGCTGCTGTGCCAGACCCTGCTCGGTGTACACACAGAAGGTGCAGAGCAGGGTGGGAAGGGATTTCAGACTAACTTCCGCCTGCTGCACAAAACTAGCCCCTGGTGAGTAGCACCAGGAAAGGCGCTGAAATACTGACCCTATCCAGCAGCAGTTTTATTCCACCAATGAAATTATGAAATCTTCCCACTTCCAGTCTTCCCCCCTCCACCCTCCAAAGAAGCTCTAATGTACTCTGAGCTCTCCCTTAATTGCTTTCATTTGGCTGCCCTCTGAGAATAAAATGTTGTGGCGACTGTACTTAGAGAGGGGACAACACAAGGAGAGCGGGTAATCTCCTAATCAAGGCTGGTAAATATTTAAGAAGGAGGAACTGTCCATTCCTTCAGCCTCTTCTTTATATACTACCCCAAGTGACTGAAAACTAGTTTATAAACTACTGGTAACATATATCCATGTTATTCTTGCCTTTTGCAAGTGCCACAAATCTATATTTTTCAAGTTATCAGATGAAATCCTGGACAAGCTGATTAGCATCCAATTTAATTTGCACTACAGGAGGTTGTGACTAATTTTCTGCATAAATTTACACATTTTAAATGAGAGCATGATGTTCTTTATTATGAATTCTGTTCTTAAATTCTTAAAATCCCTCTAACTTTGCCTCCACCCTCCGGGCCTCTGTCCACAGGAAATTTTAACACCCTCCTCCTATTCTTGGATGACTGAGTGACCATTATGTATATTTTCCTGGGAACTATAAGCCATGACATTCACTTTTCATAAAATTCCTCCCAAACACTTTAAGTTTAAATATTACTGTATGCTTTCATGTATCTTTAATTGGCAAGTCTACTGAAGAAGAGCCACAGAAACTGAGTTTTTACCTGTGAGGTGTCCCAACTTGTTCTTTCAGTAACTATGGGAAACGTGGTGGAATGTGTGGCTGGAGGGTATGAAATCAGAAACAAAAATGTTAACCTGTGGTGAGATTTACGGTATACAACCAACCCTGTAATATTATAATGAGAAAACTTCTTAAAGCATCAAAGTGTGAAACGCCCACTCTGCATTTTTGTCTAATCCATCCTTTATCTCCTGGTCACAGTGACTGCATACCAGGGGGATAAATATGTCCACTAATTCACGGTGTAAAAGATCTGGGACTAGGGACATTCTGAAGAATGGTGTTTAAGGGGGTGGATAGGAACTAATTATGCGAGCAGGTTTCCCCTGACAATAAGAGCTGTATGTAAGGGGATGCATCAAGGTGTATATTAATTTATTCACATTGCCTAAACGAAGTATTAATTCGTATGGTTCATATCTGCTGTAATTTCAGTTTGAGATTTATCCTGAGAACTAAAAACTCCTGTAACTGCTGAACTAATGCTTTCTTAGGGTCTCTTCTTGCTCCAATTGAACTCAATGGCAAAACTCCCACTGACTGAGACAGCATTCTCTCTTGGCTTAAGTGATGTAAGGCCAAAGACCCATATTCTTCTCTCAGTAAAACTGATGTAAATCCAGAATAATTTCATTGTCTTTAAGGGAGTTGCTCTCAGTTTACATTGGTATAGCTGAGAGACAAGGTGAGTGAGGTAATATCTTTTAGTAGTAGACCAACTATTGTTGGTGAAAGAGACTAGCTTTTTAGCTACACAGCTGACAGAAGAATAGGGCAGTTAAGCCCCTGATTCTGCAAACATTAACTTCTCATATTTGAATAGTCCCATTGAAATCAATAACTTTACTCTTATGAGCAGTCCTAAGCCTGTATATAAATGCTTGTGGAATTGGGTCTAACAGACTGGGGGTAGGTTACTGAAGGGCTGTATGTTTGGGAGTTAATGGGGGGTGGTGAAAGACCCTCCAGTAGGGTGGGCTCATTTTTTTGGAGGGAAGAATGGAGGAATCATTACAATGCCTGTTGCATTCAATCAATCAGATGTCTCCAATGGATCATACCATAAATAGGCTGGAAAACGCTCCCAATGAATGTACAGTGTTTGGTTTGGGCTTGATTATGTATATATTTTTAATTTCCACATTATCGGTGCCATCTCTTCTAGAACATGGGGGCTCTTGCTTTGTTGCAAGCTAAGCACTAATATGAAGGTTGTGCTTATTGTGGGTTGTAGATCGTGCCTTCTTTTATGTTTGGAAACTGCTTAGCACATTGTGGGTGCTGTAGACATAAATAATACTTATGTAAAGCCATCCCTTTTGATATTATATTATTGTATTCCCATTTACCACCTTGATTATACTTTACCAAAATAATTATATTTGGTTGACAGTAGCAGATTGTTTTTTAGCTTATTAGAAATGAATAATTTATTATAGGAAGAGCTGGTAGTATTGCATATTATTAAGGTTGCCTGACACTTTCCATTATAAGACTCTGGTTTTGGTTACCTATAACTTTGCCAAACTTTAACTGTTTGGGCTGAAATTTTCCATGCTGGATCTGCCTCAGGCTGAAGTTCTTGGAAAAGTTCAGGCAAAATAGTTCAGCTGTTTCTGAGAACGAGGCTATTAAAAATATGTTCTTTTGCTTATGTTAAAAATAATCTGGAGACCTTTTCTTTGAACAAGTATAGTGTGCCCAACACTTGAAAGCAGCGACTTGAAATTTGGCAGGGAGTGGCCTTTGTGTGAGTGCTGGGCTTTTTGCTGTACCTGTCAAAATCTGCCCAAATGTGGCGAGGTTAGAAACCTCTGAAAAGTCATGATTCATGCATACTCAGCAGAGACTTAGATTTTAGCAGCCAAATTTCCTGAAGATTGTGTCATCACTGACCATATTCCAGCCCAGGGCCCAGCAGGCTTTAAAGCTGCAACAACTGCAGGGAGCTTTCCCTGGGTCACAGCAGCTGTGCTTGTGGCAAGTTTGGGCACCTGAACTGAGAGCAGGGGAACTGTCTCCTGCAATCTCAATGATCCCCCCCCCCCACCCTGCCGCCGCCAGCTGGGCCCAGGCAGCATGGAGGAGGAAGCTGCCTTATTTGAATGGATATGAGATAAGAGATGGACCAGAAGGGGGCTATGAGGAGTAGATGACTGGAGGCCAGTGAGGGAGAGACAGATCAGATGAGGATCCATCCAAGAGGTGGAAACTGGGCAAGGAGACTGGTTACAAGGAATTGTGGGATTGGGAGGGAATTGTGAATGGCTGAGGAAGGAGCCTGGGACAGGAAGTGGTGGTGGGGGAGATTGGGACAGGAACGAGAGTAGGACTGGCTGGCCAATGAGACTGGGACTAGGATGAGATGCCTGAAGGGTAGGTGAAAAAAATGGCACCAGGATGAGGGGCCAAATGCGGGGAAGAGACCAGACTGGGAGAAGGACAGGTTGGAAGAGAGGGGTCAGAAAAGTCTGCTCACTAGAGCACATGCCTCTCCAGAGCCTGGAATGGAACCCAAGTTTTCTGGGTCTCACCATTCTTCTGGCGTCAGCAAATATCTGTGAAACCCACTGGCAAAGTGTCCTATCCCCTTGTAGGGGGATTTTGTAGCAAAAGAAACTGCCTCATTTGTTGCAAAAGTTGGAAGGTGTGTACCTATTTTGGTTGCTGGGAGACGGTAGCCTAAGCCCGCCCATAGTTAAAAGGCCCTTCCCCTTATCTGAGTGCCTATATGATACTGGGCAAGTCAATTAAACAAAACTCTTCATAGTTTGCCAGTGATTGTGTGTTCTTCATTTTATGGGTGCCTAACTTGAAACTATGCAGTCTAATTTGCAGAAGTGCTGAGCAATCACAGCAGCATCTGAACTCAATGGCAGCTATGCTTTGAATATATAAAGTGCTATATAATACCATATACTCTGAAAAATCAGGTTCTATACATCTCAAATTGGGCAACCAAAATTAGTGGATATTTTTGACCTTTATTTCTCTGTGCCTCAGTTCCACATCTGTAGAATGGGGATAATAAAAGCCCCTCACCTCATAAGGATGTTGTGAAAATAAATTCATTAGTATTTGTGAATCACCCAATACTATTGTGCTGAGCGTCATAGTTTAACCCATGAAGAAATTAATATTTTTTTTGTTTTCAGAGTCTGGTTTGAATAGTGTGCAGTAAACAAGGCACAGGGCTACACACTGAATAATGGAGAGAAAACAAAATATTTAGTGAACACTGTCCAGAGGCGGATTACACTTTTGTGAGGCCCTGGGCCAGAGGAAGTGGGGGCCCCTCCCCACCCCTTCGGCCTGCAGTCCCCCCCCCTTTCTTCCCCTGATACTCATACTGGGGAAATGGGGTCAGGGCGCAGGGGCTTCCTCTGCCCCGCCTCTCCCCCCCCCCACCTGGCACTCCTACCAGGAAGCAGGGTTGGGGAGCAGGAGCAGGGCAAGCCCCCACGCCCTGATCCCACTCCCCAGTAGGAGTGCGGAGCAGGTTGGAGCTTGGGGGCACCCATTTTTTCTGGGTCCCCCCAGTTGGCTGGGACTCCTGGGCACAGGCCCCGTTGGCCCACTGGCTAATCTGCCACTGACACTGTCTGTTCTGTGCATGGAACGTGGCATGGAATGGGGTCCTGTGGAAAAATGTGATCGTGTAATTAAATATTGTGTCATAATGCATATGCACAAAGTGGCCGAACTAAGGTTGCACAGACAACCTTAATTCAGGCATTTCTTAACTTTGGAATATGTGATTTTGAAAACCTAATAGGATTTCTTAGCATAGTTTTGTGTGTGTAATGTTAACGAGAATGGGCCAAAGGTAGAATTGTTTGTGTAAATGCCTCCCATTCCAAA